TCAATCAAAAAACTATAAGTACACTAACCGACCGCCTACGGGACTGGGTCAGTTCAAAGTAAGAATCGCGGAGCTAATCAAGCTCCTTTTTATTATCTGAACTGAATATTGCCGTCACCACATAAATTCCCAAAAGTAAGAAGAAAAAAATAGCCTCCGCAGTTGCGGACTGTCGGTGGCATTTTTTTTCGAAAATCCCTTCTTGTTACACCTTATGTACCTTCGATAATGTTGATGTGAGCTGTGGGTTCAAAATCCTTAAATGTCACTTTGTGATTGTGGGATTGAAATTAATTTATATACAGGGTCACTCCATAAGTTCGTGCACTTTAAGAGTATGTGTGGAATTCACTATGAAGCATTTACTAAAACAGTACAATTTTGAACCGGTTGAAACTTGTCATCATTTGACTAACATATTATTCAGTTCATCACCAACTTTCGTAAATATCGAATGCATTTTAGTACCCATAAAAGATGAATAGAGATAATCAGTACAAATGTGCTGTGCTACATTTTTTATTTTCATGTGGATGAATCTGCGAGGTTTGCAGCGACAAAAATTAATAGTGTACATGGTGAACACACTATTAGTGTAAGGACTGCCCAGAAATGGTTTAAAAAAATTTAAGTTGGAAAACGCAGCATTGATGATGAATCCAGTCCAGGATGTTTTGAACTGTTAGATCCAAATCAAACGATTAATTCAGAAGTTTATAGTAAACAACTTTGTCGTCTAAACTCGGAGTTGATCAAAAAATACCCACGACTGGTGAATATCAAGAAAATGTTGTTTCATCATGACAGCGCTAGACTGCATACGATTTGAACAACGCTGCAAAAAATTAGTGCATTTAATTGGGAGCTTTTGCCACATCCTGCTTACTTCCCAGATATTGCCCCAAGTGATTTTCACTTATTTTGTTCCTTACAAATTTTTTTACTGGGGAAAAAATTAAATTCTAAACAGGATGTACACAATGAACTTTGCATCAAAACCAGAGTCTTTCTACAGCAATGGCATAAAAAAGCTTCTTGTAAGATGGCGAGACATTATAGATAATGGAGGAAAATATATAATTGATTAAAATGTTAAATTGTGTTTTTTATACTATTTAAAAATTTACCAAAAAATGCACACAAATTTATGGACTGACCCAATAAAATCAAATTTAACTAAATTATATGAAACCGTGCTTTTAATTCACTATTAAAACAGTACTTGTGATAAGTGCACATAAATATTTTCTTAATCATTATAGAACACAGTACCTTTATCTTTTTCGTTGAAATAAATGTTCGGCTTTAATCCTCCATATTAAATTCATCATATGCAAAATTTTCTGAATTGTTAAATTCAGACCTCCCTTTGTCGGACTTATTGTTCGACATAGGGAGCATTTACTGGCTCCCTATGTCGAACAATATGATTCAAATGCTCCCTATGTCGAACAATATGATTCGAGGCACTACCCTTTGTCGTGTAAATATAATAAAAAAGTTCCATGTACATGTATATGTTTTTAATTACATTATTTTGATTGATTCTTTCTCTCTCTCACTCTCTGTATATATATATATATATATATATATAGGGTTTAAAATGTGTTCCGCTACTTAAATTTATTGTTCAATTTTATTTTTTTCATGAATCTACTTTGTACAGCTAAAAAAGGGAGGATATTAATTTTAATGTAGCATATATATCAGTTTGGGTTTTTGTCAGTATGTGGGATTTTTATCAGTGTGGGTTTTTTTATCAGCTTTTTATCTATGTAAGCTGCTATCAATGTGCACTTTCATCGGTGTGGGTATTTGTGGCGTGGGCTATTATCACAATGGGGGCTTTTTTTCTAGTCACCATTACTTTTCTGTTGCTTTTCTTTATAATGTAATAAATTTATTGAAAATTCTTCTTATTTTTACTTAAAACAATATTTCAATATATGTAGCTGTTTGTTAAAAAAACATCAATGTTATTATGTGACATTATTAGCTTTATGTGAATACAAAAGTATTTTGTATTGTAAATTTTTATTTTAATAAACGACTTCATATTTTTTCGTTATTTTTATATGATGCAATAAAGTTATAAAACTATGCAAAATCTATAATTTCACAAGTCCCATTTACAGGTATATCAACATATGCGGTCTCCTTTATCACTGCCTGATTTAAATATGGCCTCTCATGGTAAAAAGGTTCTCCACTCCTTTTGAAAAAATTACGTGGATTGAATTCATATTGGTACTGTTCTGTTATCATGACTGGGTCCAGAATACACGCGTATATACATACATACACTTCTGAATCTAGTCCTGATACCAGAATACCTTCATATTTTGCTTCCAATCCAAATCACTTTTCCTTTTGTTTGCATGTTTTGCTACCTCTGAATATCAATTAGAATTAGTTTGTATAATTTTAAAATTATGGGGTAAATGTTGAGAATTTATACTTTTAAAAATAGAAATCATTTTAAAGAAAGAATAAGCTTAATAAGAGAAATTTTTGTAAATCCAAAATTTCATTTCTAATACAGTGCAAAGTGTCTGTAATCTGGATGTCCATTATCCAGAATGATCTATAATCCGGACCTCAAAGCCACAAACATTTTTTATTGTGTGTATGCTTTACACATGCGCATTTAATGTATAACTGACGGTTAAAGCTAGGCTAAAATTATCTTTACTGATTCTAAGGCATTTCAGTTAATGTTGCAGATTGCGCTGTTCCTTAATCTTCTAATTGGATCCGACTTATTGTTTTTTGCAGACTGTTAGAGCATTTTATACCCAAGGCTCGGCGACATTTGAATTCGGTTCGCTTACCTGATGACTCAAAAATAGTCCTGACTGTTGACAACTGTTCGGCGCATGCTTCACTTAAAGTTTTAGTGAAAGATAATGTATCCGTATTATTCTTCTCTTATAGAAAACGAAAAAATTTCAATTGATAAGTTATTCTGTATTCTCGACACAGCAGTTACAGGACTTGAACAGTGGAACTTTGTAACTGAACAAGAAATTGTGTCTCTTTATAGAATTAAAGAGAAAGTATTAGCACAAAAAAAAAAAAAAAAAAAAAACGAAGCAGTTTAAACAATTTACATTGAAAGAAATGTTTAATAAAGTAAACAAATAAATATTAAACTTTTTTTTTTGTGTGTGTGTGTAAATTTTGATACTCTTTAGATCATAATTGCTCTTTATTTCATAAGTTATGGTTTCATATTTTTAATTCTATAATTTCTGCATGTCATCTTACCAGATTTAAATTGATGATTAATAATCCGGAATCTCTGAAGTCCCAACGAGTCCGGATTACGGGCTTTGTACTGTACTTTTTGTAGTCTAATTAATCCAGTTACATCTGTACGAAATAGAATTAGCGTAGGAATTTAGTTTACAGAAGTCATATTTGTTTGGGATTTTGTAAGTGTTGTTATTTACTATTTCTCTTATACATAAAAATTATTTTTGAATTTTTTTTTTTTTTTTTTTTTTTGTGTGTGTGTGTGTGTTGTGTGTGGATGCGAGACGTGGTTATGTAAAATTCTTTGAGTCATCTTCACAAAAAACTTCTTTTACTACTTAAAAATAGTTTCGTATTTTATCTATTTGCTTCATTTCCCCTTGCACTGACTTTTTTTTGAGGGGGGGGTATTTAAATTTAGAAAATATAGTAGTTTTGTTGGCTGATTTTTGGAATATGGTAACTAGTAGTTTGGCGACATTTTGGAGGCAATAAAGGTTACTACCTAGGACTTTGGTAATAATGTGAGAAGTACTCAGTTCCGATTACGCATTATTTTGTGTGAGGGAAATGAGAGATCATGAGATATGTCATGTGACATTAATGGACGAATTACAGTTCTTTAATCGGAAAAGGGGGGGAATTTGGAAAACTGTAGTACTATATTATTTTGTATTAAGCTTCATTGTGTGTTGTGTGAAATAGTGGAAGTGTGCGTGCCACGTAATGAAGATTCTGAAGATTAGGTAAGTTAGTATTTTTAATCATTTGAGGATATTATTTTTATGCATTGTTCTAAATGTAAGGAGTAAATAAATTAATATGGTATTATTGGAAAATTGTTATTAGCAATGATTTAGTTTAAAAGTAATTAGGATTGTAATCTAATTTTTATTAATTTAATGTATGTGCTTATTTATATTTTAAGTAGTGTTTTTTAATTTAATTATATTTTAATTTAATGATCGTGATTTTGTGAGTTATATGTTTGTAGTATTTTGGAATACGTTTGAGTAGAATACGTTGAGTATTTTCATGCATTTTCGTGAAATTTTTCTAATTTATGAGAAAAAAGCAGTGTACATGGATATAGTGAAGAGTGTGCGCAATGCCATTTTTGTGCAATTCTGGGATGTTTTTTTAAGTAAAAATAAGTCGACGTGTAAATGGTTTTTGTGTATGTGCTATTCTGAAAAACGCGCAAGGAGTTTGCGATTGTGCACTTTTTCCCAATTTTGCAGTTAATATTTGTCATGATTAAGCAGTTTTGTTAGATAAAATTTCTAGCATAAGTGTAATTCGGCTAGTAGATTGTTGGAAAAAGTGTTCAGTAAATAAAAAGAAAAGAAACATGTCTTTACTTCGTGAAGACAAAATGGTGACGAAAAAAAAATAGAAGGTTGCTGTAGCAGAGTTGGTCGCCAAATTTTCGCCAAAAAATCGCCAAGTTACCATAATTCAAAGATCAACCGTTTTATTTTTAGTAAATCTGAATTAATAATTCTAGAGATAAAGGTGAATTCTAATTAGTTATTTTGGCACAAGCAATCCACAGTGGTAGAAAGGAAGAAATGTAAATTAAACTTGCACACGAGACTCCACAAAATTCGTTAATTTAATCAGTACGTGGACCTAAGGTGTGTGGATTATCGAAATTGTACGGTATATCATATAGTTACATAGTGCTGTTAGATCATAATGTTATTTTTCTCTTGGCACAGTTTTAATTTTAGTTTTTGTAAATTTTAAAGGAAACATACCCTTCAACTCCTCCAGTGTGGTTTGCTGAAACAGAAGATCCCTGTATTACAAGTGCTGTTCAAATATTAACCAACACATCTGGGCGAGATAATTTGGTAAGATTTTAGCTTCTGGATATTGAGCAGACTTATTGAATATAATTGGTAAATTCTCGTTAAAAAAAAAAAAAAAAAATTGTTCTCAGTGGAGTTTTATATTATTGCATATTTTACACTGTTTTCTTAATTATTAGATACGGTATTAAATTGCTAATCTGTGTTAAATGGCTTTTATTTCTGTGGATACGGTATGTTTTATATATATTATATCAGAGATTTTGTTTTATATATATTATATCAGAGATTTTGTTTTATATGTGTGTGTGTGTGTGTGTGTGTAAATTTTTGTAAACTTTTATTTGTTCTATATACTTAGTTATACCTTCAACATCTAACAATAGCTTTAAATTCATAATGTTCTTTGTATTTTATTTAGTAAGAAACTTTGCTTACTTCATTTTACCCAGACTTTTTCTCTGAACTTCTTTTGTCAATTAGTTCATTTATTTATCACACAGAGTATATTCACGATACATTTTCTTATACCAGAATATATCATCTTTTGTCAGTCTTTATCAAAATCTGTTAACCAGAAAGAAAAAAGAATAAGTGGGAAACTAAATCAGAAAGCTGCACCCTGTCGTGGCCAGCCACCTGGGAGTGTTACATCCTTTCACTCAGTGAACTCTTAGTTCTTTAAGGAATTGGACTAAATATATTGTATGTATACCCATTTATAATAGATTAATGTGCACAGAATTAATAAAAGCTTGATAAAATTTATTTTGCCAAAAGAAGCACTTCACAGCTCTCGAACTTTCAACAAAAATAGCCATACAGCTCTTCATAATGTCACAGATCAGTAGTTACTCTTCAAACTACTAAAAATGTTAAACACACCGCAATGCAAAGCGCATCTAAAAGTTGAAGCTCTCTTGGATACTTTGAATTAGCAGCTGAGAGAAGGTGCTCTTTCCAGTTCTTACGAGGGTAAGTTGAAAAATAAGTTTCCCCTGTCGACTGTGGTCAGAGTTGTGTATGAAAGTCAAAAATAGAATGAGACATTAAAGATATGACATACCTTTATTTTTCCACATAGGTACCAAGTACATTGAGACATTTGTCATATCGCTTGATAAGCTTCAAAAAGCCCTCCAGGAAAAAATCGGGGCTTTGCATGTGGAAGAAGCGTTGAACATCTTGTTTCACTTCAGTATTGCTTCCAAAGTGCCTTCCCCCGAGATTTTTCTTCAAAGCCGGAAACAGATGGAAGTCGCTTGGTGCGAGATCAGGACTGTATGGCGGATGGTGTAGGCGCTCCCAACCAAGAGTTGCAATATGGAATATGGTTTTGCGTTGCCGTCGCCGAATGTGGTCTGGCATTGTCATCCAACAGCAGAACGCCAGATGTGAGAAGGCCAGGCCGCTTTTTCCGAATCGCCTCTTTCAATTTCGACAGGGTGTCACAGTAGCACGTAGCATTGATGGTTCCAACTTCCAAAAAGTCCAGCAACAAAACTCCTTGGGCGTCCCAGAACTGTGAGGAGCACTTTACCTGCAGAGGGAGTTGTTTTGAACTTCTTTCGGACAGGTGATGACAGATGTTTCCACTTCATAGATGCGACCTTCGATTCTGGCGTGAAATTCCTGCTGTGTCGCTATTCGCCCATAGCCGTTCAACGCTTATTCAATATGCAAAGCGTGAATTTTTCTTGGAGGACTTTTTGAAGCTTATCAAGCGATATAACAAATGTCTCAACGTACTCGTACGAGAATAATAAAATAAAGGTATGTCATATCTTTAATGTCTCATTCTATTTTTTGACTTTCATACACAACTCTGACCACAGTCGACAGAGAAAACTTATTTTTCAACTTACCCTCATATATAGTTTTCACCAGGCCAAAGAAAAATCTTTAGTACTTTCCGTAATTACTGTAAGGTCTGTGAGGGCTGGATACAGTTACAGCTACTTATGAAATTAATAGGAGTTACAACACACATTACAGCAATACAGAGAGAGAACCAAAACATCATCGAGTTTGGCAACATTTGACAATTTCTCACCAAATTTGGTGACAAAAATTAATCGACAAAACCAATGCCAACTTGGCAATATCTAGCAAAACTAAAGAGATGACAATTTTCTTAGTGTTAAATAGACTTCCTCCTATATTCTTACATTTCCATGAAAGCACTGCCACTTTAGATTTTCATGTCATGTTACACAAAAGGGGGGAACCTACAATTTCACATAAAATTATTTACTTAAATACAAAATTTGTAACATTGCCCCCTTCCCAACTCCACTTCCTGGGCAGTACAGTTCTCGCACAAGAAGCCACATTTACAGAAAGCCGACCCGCACAGATATACGATTGGCACCACTTTTGCATGTTAGCCTGTGCATTGCTCCAGTAGAAGCACTCTTGAACTCTGTGCAAAGTCTTTATTATTCTGAAGTAGCTTCCTTTTGGACTGCAGTATAATTCTTTAAGGACGTCTGGGATCTTGGAAGTACCAGCTGACATCGAAATACATTTCCATCATTTTATTCGAACTTCCGGTACAAGATGCCATTTCTAATATGGATTGTGTCCCCCAGAACCCAGTGTGGTTTTGTTGTAGGACTACAGATTGAAACATCCTGCCTGGTAGGTTTTCTGTTTAAAGATTCCATTATTTTAATTATGGGTTTAATGTCACCATCTTCCAGCTGGTCTCTCCTAATTTCTTCATCACTCCATGGGTCTGTGTCAGACGATGTTGAATTCATAACTCGATGTACGACCTGATTAAGCAGCTCATGTTTCCATTTGACTCTGGAACAATATTGGCAACTTTATGGGCACAGTCTTCTAGACAGGGCATCAGTGTTTCCATGTAATATTCCCTTCCAAGGACTGATAGAGAAATCATATTCCTGGAGTGTCTGCTGTCTTGATGTTTGGTCTTGAGCATTCTTGAAATTTAAAAGACAGATCATGAGTTCCAGTTATTTTAACATTAATAATGGACTTTTATCTTCATGGGCATACAATGAAAATGTAGATACTAACCCTTGCTTTAACTGACCTTTGAGCTCTGCATATTATTCTACTCTGTTGATAGTTGAGTTTTAACTTGAGCCAAATTTTTAATGCCTTCAAGTTTAATTTCCATGAATAATAAAAGTGTTGAGTCACTGCAATAATAATCTTTATGCATTTAATATTCAAGAACAAAATGCAGATGGCACAACTTTTTTCCTTTAGTTTTCGGGCTTAGGAAACCAGTGAAGCATAGCATCGTCATTTTTTGTATTACACATTTATTTTTACATCTTTCCAAAATTTCTTGACGTATTTGTCATTTAGGTATAAAATTTGAAACTAATATAGTGGAAGTGATGGATATTTTAGTTGGAATTTCAGTGAGTGAATATTTATATTTTGATCATAAGAGGGGGCTGAGAAAGGATATTAAAGGGAACTGCTCTCAGCTTTTATCATGAGTATGTGAACTGTTTATCAGATACTTTACTAAATTTACGTTTTATTCACATAAACAGAGTCACGTTACATTGTAAATTTTGTTACAAGAAGTTGAAATAGAATAATAAAATCAGTAGCCAGGCTTTTGCTTACTATGAATAGTGTAGTGCCATAAGAGAAAGCTTTTTGATATTCTTTCTTACTAATGCATGTTCTTCTAAATAATTTGCATAAAATGTTCCCGTATGTATATAATGATGTAGAAGTTGATGTCAGAATGGAGTGGAGAATTTGACTTACGAAGAGGTGAAACTTGGTACTGAAAAGATGTTAGCAGTTGTGGTTTTATATTGTTCTTGAGCTGTACATATTTAGTATAAATTATACATCATAAATGGGCTTATCAGTCTGCCCATTTGTTCTTGATCATATCTGTATCTCTTCAGCATCTTATGAGAATACTGTTGATGATAGAGAGGTAACAGGGCAGCAAGCAAGAGCAGGAACACAGTGTGTTCAAGATGAAAGCTTAAGGTAGTTTCAGTGCCGAACTTTCTCATTGACATTGCCTGTATGTAAGAAAGTTATTTACTGAAGCATTTATGTAAAGGTCTGCATATCTAATGTTATGCAAGAATCATAAAACATAGATTAATTTTGAAATGATGCACTTTAGAGAGATTTATTATAAGTAATTACTATTTTTAGGACAGAAAGGGGAAATAACCAAATAAAATGTGCGTGTTGCAAACTAAAGTTTAAATTTTGCTTTGGATTGATAATTTATAAATAGGTTAAAAAAGTATGCAGAAGTAAAAAATCTCTCTCTCTCTCATGGAAGAAATACAGTGTAAAATGCCCAATCCTTAAAGTTTTTAAGAACTGCGAGGAAAGGCATGCATAAAATTGGGATGGATTAATTTGTAGTTACTGCATATGTTAGAACCAAAATTAATTTCAGTAATTTGAAATTTCTTTGAAAACTGTCTTCAGTGAAATTTACTGAAAATAAATGTTACTTTTACTTGACATGCTTGAATTTCTTTTCTTTTATTTAATTTAACTGAAATATTATCAATGCTAAACGTTTTTCAGAGGGCAATTGAATTACAAGTGTTCTCTTGTAGTATTCTTGTTAACCTTTTAACCGTCACGCCCGAAATAACCTCGGGCACAGCACTGGTATTCCAAAATGTCAAGCCCGAACATTACTTGGGCTAATTTTTTTTGAGTGCATCATATTATTATACTTGAATATATATCATGAGAAGTTTATTTCGGCTTCAATTCAACAGATGGCAGGACTTTAGTGAAGGTTTCAAAGAATAGATGTTAAAGTTCAAAGTGCACAGTTTTTTTTTTTTTTTTTTTTTTTTTTTTTTTTTTTTTTTTGATTGCGAGGCAAACTTTCATTTTTGGAATTAAAAAAAATTGACAATTTATGCACCCAAATCATCAAAACAACTTGACAGTTAAAAGGTTAAAAGATAAAGTAATGTTAGCAGATGAAAAGAAATATTTCATTACTATATTATTTTAATTGAATAGGGCTATCTAATTCTGTTCAGAACCATGTGATTTCATTCTGTTGTGTAGAAAATTTTTGGACTAAATATAAAAGAATTCTTGGTTTAATACTTTCATCATTTTATATATAAAAAATATCATTATTATATGCAGTTATTGCTTTATTAAATATACATGGAACCGTAATATACATCCACTTTGACATATGTCCGTCTTGGAATTTTTCCTGCTTGTGCACAAAAAATTTTTTTTTGATTATGACATTTGTTTGGAATAAGACTCAAGTTTGATGACTCATCGGTATACAACTGTTTGCTTCTTTTGAGACAATGCTATGACTCCCCCATGAGCATCTGTACACATGTTTCTAATATTAAGTAAAAAAACCTACTGTTAAACTCTGAATTTTCATTTGATTTGTTATCCTCATCCCTTTTTAATTTTTTGGAAATTAATAAACGATGGAAAAAAAAGCTAACAAGAAAAGACAAGCAGTGAAAAAAAATTGTTAGCATCACTATGGTGGTGAAAAAAAGAGATTGCTAAAAAGTTTGAAGAAGGCATACATAGCTTGGACTTCGCTATTGCGTACCATATGTTGAGTACATTGGTCTCTATGAATGTATACAATATAATAACCAGAGACGCTATTATATTGGCTAATGTTGTGAAGGGGTTGAAATCGATTGCCAAACAAAGAGATTAGAGATGTTAGGGCATGTTGAAAAATTCCTTTTGATCTGGATGACAGGATAATGTTTATTTATGGTATATTTTCATTCGCTGCATTTGGTATTAAAAAATGTTATAATAATAATAGGATTTTTTATAAGAATGGATTACTTGCTTTCCATTTATTTCTTACTGTTAAAGTTTGCTTGGTATATAATCGAGGATCTAGAACAGATTAATGATATGTACTTGAGGTGTCACTGTATATGAATATTTGCATGGAATCATAGGTATTTTTTAAAGCACAATTTTCCTGAAGTTTTCTTGACTAAATCTTTTAATTGCTCCCTTCGGTTCCACTTTATTGAAATCTGGCTGTATACATTACTTTAAATATCAGTTTGCTTAGTACTAAATTTGGCTAATAATTGGGATGGATAAAATTTAATGATTTTTATTATTGCATGTGATTGCTAAAATTTTTTGCTCATTTGTAGGTTCTTCAGCAAGTGAAACTACTGGTCAGTGAACTTTGCAGGCTACATAACATACAAGAACCTATAGAGTTAAATAATCTACAGCCCACTGTAGTTGCACAGGTATGCAGTTTAACTTTCCTTACAATAAATATGCTTAGAACTATTGTTTGCATTTTTAAAATCATCTGCTATTATGTAATTAAGAACTTTATTAATTTTATTTTTCATGTCTAACCTCCACTTCCCTCCCAATATTTTTTATGAGTCAGATATGGGAGTTTGTACTCGGAATATACAAATGTGCAATTCAGTGTCATTTAAACTACCAGTCTTACTCATATATATAGTTCACACAGATTTAGCAAAAAATGTAGTGGAATAGGATTAAAGAAATATTTGTAAATTCTTAAATATATGAAGCATGTTTAAAGAACTAATAAATTTTTTAGATTTTTTGTCTTAAATTTGATTTTAAAATGTGCACTTTTCTTGTAAAAGGTCTTTTTTCTGGTACTTACTAAATAAGTAAAGTACATTCTTATTATATAAATTTCTTTGACATAATGCATAATCACTTACTTCAAATTATATTGAAAGGGAAAGATGAAATAAGCTAGAAATATAGATAGAAAGATGAAATCCAGTTCTGTCTACAAGAGCTGAAATTCTCAACTAATTTCGTAACAGAGTCACTTTTGAGATGCAGGTTAAAGGTAGAAAACAGTAGTTGTGTGTTTCCAATAAAAACGATCTCTTGGAATGGTCATTATCATTGAAGTGCAAGCTAGAAAAAATTGTACTATAGACAGATTTAGCCCGAGGAAACAGAAAGTCATTTTGCGCACCTTAGTTTCTTGGAAATTATCACTTTCGGCACAGTAATTCAAAGATAAAGTCCAAGCCCCTCGTGCTGGATGTTTGACAGCAAATTTACACTTCATACAAGCTTATATATAGTCTGTCTCTGCAATGTTACATTGAGAAATGAAATAAAATGAGAGATAAAATGACAATTTCTCTTTAAAATGAAAGGAATTTTTGCAAAAGAAAATAAATGATTTCTTTTTTGATATAGGCATAACATCTCCATTTTTTATTATTGAAACATAGGTATAATTAATTATTCTAAACTATATAACGTTAAAAATAACTTTTCATGAACTTCACAGAGATATTTTTTGATTTCATACACATGCAAAATAAGTAAATGAAAATAGAAAGTAATAAATAAATAAGTAAAAGTTTCAGATTTATCATCAAAACATAATAGCTAACTGCTTAACCAGAGAGTAGAAAAGCTAATAAGTTTCTAACTTAATAAAAATTCACTCAGATACTTCATTACAATTAAATCATAAATACATTTTATATTGATAGAAATCACGTGTCCTTGTATTTGTTTGAGCTTTTATCTCTGTGTGCTTTCATCCATACAGGTATTTTCATATGAGCAGTTACCATAGTGGGGTTATTTTTGTGGGTCTCTGTTATATACGCTTTCATCTAATGGGCTTTTTTTTCCAGGGAATTATGTTCATGATCTCTCTCGCCTTTTTGTACATTTAGTATTGAAAATGTTCTTTACAGTGGCAACCCTTTTCCAGTTTTTGTTTTGCTTGCAAGAGAAGAATAGAATACCATGTTAAGACTTGATAGGGCAGACTGGGATTTCTTAACCCTTGCAGAGTTCACAGAAAAAAATGGTAAACAATGTGCCTAGTAATGATGCAGTAAAAGCCCTTGAAGGTATAATTTTTTAGGTAATTATACTTTCTATACATTTGACATCAGCAAGGCTCTCAAAACATTCAAAAATCATGGTAGAATTATGAGTTATAGGAATCATTGAAACAGTAGAGAAAAAGCCATAGCAAATGCAGTAAAACGGAAAAGCAAGAGGGATTTGGGGATATCCTTATGTGTCGTCAATAAAACCCTCTACAATTAGTAAGAGAGTATGGGTGTGTGCAGAATATATAACCACTCACTTTTGTTTCTGTAAAGAGATGAACGAATGAATAACACCATAGATGAAATAGTAAATGCTGTTTGTGAGATATTTGCTGCAATTTCTAGTGGCAGGAAACTACCCATTGTGTACTACTTACCCCCCCCCCAAGTTATACTCTAAAAAAATTCCAATGGCCTTGAACCTTTCCAACTTGGAGCTATGTAATGGCATTTTTAGAACTTTTTAACTAAAGAAGAGTTTTATTACAGACATGTAGGTCTAACACAGGTTCAGATGGTGTCTGTTATGAAATGGTAAAGCATCTCTCCTGTGGGTCAGTGGCTGCCCTTCTTGCATTTTACTTCTTTGTATGAGATATGTATGTGTATATTTAATTATGGCAAAGCACACTAGGGCTATCTGCCTAAGGGAGGGGATGCCTTCGTGGAGGACTTTCTAAGGGAAACTGGCTCGTATACACGTTACATATGGGGAAAACCACGAAAACACCCATGCAGCCAGCCCGTTTGCGGGATTCGAACCTCGGACCGAACTACCAGTGTTCAGAGACTTTACCGCTCCGCCGCTGGTGGGCCCTTTGTATGAGATAAAAGGAAGTATTGTAATAGCTTAAAATTTTGGGTATCATATTTCAATGGAAATATCTATTTAGACAATTTACAAGTCTATTTGAATGTTTTTTTTTTTTTTTTTTTTTTTTTGTGTGTGTGTGTGTGTGTGTGCGTGTGACTTCTGTACATACAAACAGAATAAATGATTCTGTTTTCTCAAAATGGATTGGATTCAGAAGTGCGATGATGTCTGTGCATACATATGCATGTATCTCTCACAACACAAAGACAATTCTCTGTAGAACATTGAAATTTTGTGTATGGAACTGCTGTAAACATCTGGATAGTGGTGCATCTCCCATTGCAATCAGTAGTACCAAATGTATATATATATATATATATAGTATATATAATGTATAGCCACCCCCAGCCCTTACCTGGGAAGTCCTTGCCTGGCATTTATTTTTGCAGTTGTTCAGTGTAGTATACTTCTAATTACAGAAATGTTTTAAATTGCAGAATTTCAGAAATTTTCATGCTTTGCCAATGCCAAATAAAAAAAATGACAAATAATGAAATCTATGTTTTAATGTGATCTCATAAATAGAATAGTTATGTAAAAATAAAATTGGAAGAAATTTGACTCTCATACGAAAAAAATTGATCAGGATATCTAATTTCAAAATTTGCAGATTATCATTTATTTTAAACTTGCCTTAAGAAAGTTAAAATAATTTGAGGAAATAGGTTTATTCGAAGTGTAACAAAAAGTGTGCATAATTTAATAGGCTGTATAATGAAGTCATGTTGTTTCCATGTTGGATTTTTATAATTAAGTATGGAAGGAGCATATTTCCAGTGCATGGAAGAAAGCTGTTGTCATTCCCATAGCTAAGCCTGTAGAAATACTCAAAACATCCCTGTGTGGGCCTATTGCACTTTGAATAAAAAATGAGTTGCATTTGTGAGCTGTTTTTTTGGGGGGGGGGAGAAATGGTAAACTGCTACATAGTCTGTTACTTGGAAAAGAATTGTGGCAGCAATTCTATAACATTAGCCTTATAAGAATGGTATCTGCAAAGCATTTGTCTAAAGAAACTATCCAACATTTCTCTTTTTTAACATTCAAAAGCATGAGGTATGTCATTTTGCATGAAGTACGCAAGTGGCTTGCACAGCACCCTGCTCATTTTTATTAATTTTTATATTTAAACCGATTTTGGAAATTCAATGCATCTCTTTATTGTTACAATTAATCAGTACTGATTAGTCTGTGATTTTAGCTGATTGTATAACTTTGTTCCTTTGTCCCCTCTTTTTTTCATAACATAATAAAATGTCATAAGTCTATTATTTTAGTTGTTTTTAGAATTTTATCCTGTCATTTAGTAATATATTTGGCATATCATTAACCTTTTAGGTTATGTGCTAGGAATCTACTAAATTTTATTTTTATTAATACTTGAGTGTTTAAAAAATGAGTAGATCTCAAATATTAATTTTAAAGTAAAATTTCTGCTTCAGGATTTGTGCTTTAGAAACTATAAGAAAAAAATACAAAATACTTTCTTAATTTCCTCTGTAGATATCTGAAGATGAATTAGAAAGTAATTCAGAAGACGATGAAGAGACTGAAGATGATATTCACATTGAGATGGAAGAAGACACTAGGTAACTATTCACAGTTTTGGCTGTAATATTTTTCAGTTATATAAAACCAGGAGTTCAGAAGTTTCAACTATTTTGATAGATTTAATGATGAAAATTTATTAATATTTCTTCTGTTATTGGGACCGGATTCAGAAATGTATGTATGTGCACACACACACATAAATGAATATGTATATAACTATATGCATATGTACACTCATTTCTGAATCCAGTCCCGATAACAGAAGAGTACCAGATAAAATGTATATCAAGTGTTTAATATGTGAACATTTAGTCACAAATTATTTTTCAGTCCTGAAAAAAGCAAAGATGAGGGAATTAGCAGTGAGCACACGGCCACACTTGAAAGGCTACGCCAAAATCAGCGTCAAGATTATCTAAGAGGCTCTGTTTCAGGTTCCGTACAAGCAACTGATCGTTTAATGAAAGAATTACGTGAAGTTTATCGTTCTGAAAGCTTTAAAAAAGGTATTGCTTTTTCATAAATTTTATAAATTATTTTAGTCTATATATTAATGTCTTTGTTGTCCTGGGTGGCCAGTAGCTAGCAGAGCTTAATTGCTGTTCTGTACTTTGGGATATGGAATGAAATCCTACGTAAGGCTTGGTTGTTTCTGTATGTCTTTCTCCCCTCTTTTAATTTTTGTAAGAAGTGTGCCATGCTTTCAGTAATGAAACAAATAAATGACTGATGGGTTTGGGTCATTGTCATCAAATGTGTTTGTGTCCAACTTTTTGAAGAGGGGTTGACTATCGTTTAATCAACTAATTTCTAGTTGTGTTCTGTAAATTTTAGTCTATTTTATTTTTCACTTTCAAGATGTTTTTCTGGAAAATGTTCAGAAACCTTTTCCCCCTTTCTTTTTAATTTTGCAGTTTCTGCCCATGTTATGTCAATATTCTAATCTTCAGCTTCTTTTAAATTACCCTCTTGATACTTAGAATACTCAAGATACTAATAGATCGAATAGTAGTCAAGATGCCAAAAGATCAAGCTGTTTTTCATTAATAACAGATGGAAAAGTATCATGAAATGAATGGACGAAAAATTGAAGCTGTAAATCCCAAGTTAATGTTTTAATTAGACAGTCAGATTCCCTTAGTCCGTGCCAGTTCTGAGTCGGCTGTTAGTTGCCCACCGAAGCGGTCACTCCGAGCTTTGTGCCCAGTGCCCAAGTTAATGTCTTAAAAATTTATCATTTAAAGGAGATATATCTATAATATATAAGCATGTAGTTACAAAAAAGGGGTTCTTCTACTGAATTTTAAAGTAATTTTATTTTAGTTAGGGATTTTTAAAATATGACCTTGTTCTTGCACCAATTACTTAATTTTCATCTTCTTTTCGTTTATTGCTCTTTTGAAATGGAAAATATAGAATGACATCTGCATCTTGAGAAATTCCTGATGGTTTTACAAATCTTACCCTTAAAATTTCAGAAAGTTCTTTTCTTGTTTTATGTATATAAGGTTGCAAATCAATGTTTGCTGTTAAAAGCAAAGGCAGAATATTTCGTAAAAAATCACAAATATAATTTGGTGATAGATGATTGTACCTTTTTTTTAATGTTTTGCATACTCTTCTTCATTTTCATTATTACAGTTACAAGGTCCAAAATTTTGATGCCCAATATCCAGAATGATCTAATATCTGGACCTCCAAGCTTCCACCCAAAAACAGTAGTACAATACTTAAGTTGCTTCTACAAAAAATTCAAAAAGTTTTTTTTTTCTAATGTCATATACAGTTGACTTTCCAATGCCATACTCCTCGCATAATTTTGAGATGGATATGCCTTTATCCATTTTTTGCAGCAATTCCACTTTTTGTTTAACAGACATCGAAACATGGTTTCGCTTTGCAAATCCTTTGGCAGCTCCAGAATTGGAAACTCCTTTCGACATTATTGTTCTTTAATTCATAAATTACGGTTTCATATTTTTAATTTTATAATTTCTGCATGCCATCTTACCAGATTTAAACTGATGATCTATAATCCGGAAAAATCGATAATCTGGAATCGCCGAAGTCCCGACAAGTCCTGATTAGACTTTTGACTGTATCATAAAAGCCCAAAGGTCTTAAGTAGTATGTTTATTGAACATTAATAAACTAATATCAGCATAATTAAATAACTAATACCGTAAAACTATCATAAAGTACATAAACATAAAACTATGATCATATGACGCTATCAGTTAATCAGCTAATAAAATTTAGCAATATTGTATTAAAATTGGGCTGTAATTTGTTTTTGCAAAACTCAATTAACACAAAACTGAGTTTGTGACTTGTAACTTCTTTTCAGCTGGTAAGCCGCTACTTAAGTTTTCACCAGTAGATCTAAAACACGTGCCAACAACCATTCGAAAAATAAAAAGAATGGTGTTAAAATTTGATGCAAAAGCAAAATTTAAAGTTATAAAAACATTTAGCAGAAGTAGCAATAGAGCTCCCTAAGGTTATATACTGTGCAGACGTTGAAGACAAAAGTTTTAAACTTAACCAATTTATTAACAATATATATAAAAATACAATAATAAATTTGATCAATATCAGAAACTTAAAGAGTGTAACCTTATCGTTGTCAGATTACACTTAGTTGACTATTCTTTAAACCCTTTTTCCTTTAAAGAATATTACACTATTAAGATACAGTAAATATTTTTACCTGATCTTTAAATACTGGCATTCAATATGCGAAAAACATATCACAGAACAAAAACTTCGTGGTTACGGTTATTATGAAATTCACTATCAAATAAGTCCATTTGCTTTGGGGGGGCAAGAAGGCACCTGAAAAATTAAACTAAATCCTTGAGTGCAGTTAAACTGGCAAAAGCCGCTCACAGTAGTCACACACGAGAGATCACAGCTTGGAAAAACATCGCCGCTAATCCTGGAGAAACACTTGTAGTAAAGATGCCGCCCACGGCAGTTGCTCACCAGAAATCACAGGTTGGAATCTATTGCCGCCGAACCGTAGAAACAGGATGCCATCCACGGCAGTCCCTCACATCATAGCCGCTTTTCAGAATCCAGGAAAAGTCATCTTTGGACCAGAACCACTGCACTTATCGCTGGATAGCATGCATCGCAATATTGTCTTGCAACAGGGGCTGGAAACAGCACACCAAGGAGCAATGCAACTGGAACCAGAAGGAATAAGCCAGAGCGACACGAGACACTTATACCTGAAGTAGACATGACGTCATCTCACGGCAACCAGTCAGCTATGGACACGACTCAGCTTTCCAGATGACGTAACATCAAGTTTTGTTTTTGCATCTTAATTAGGCTGTAACAGTATGTTCTTAATACACACAGTGGCAGTGAAAAAATGAAGTAGAAGTAATTGCTATATCTCTTTAAAATAAGAACTAAACCTTATGTAAAAGTTAGAATTATTTCAAGGAGGAGAGAGGATGCAGAAAAAGGGTTACGATAGGTCATATTTTCCAACAAAATTCAACAAATATCACACCCATAGGCGAAAAAATAAAAAGTGACTTTTAAGTCATGCAGTTCAAATTTAGGAGAAACGAAAAAAAAAAGGTCCTTGCAGGTGCAGAAAGTCCAAAATTAAGTTGGGGGATCGAACCCACAATCTCGATCTACGGAGAAAACTTGCTCCGCTCTTTACCACTGGGCTATGATCGCTCGTATAGAAGTTCTCGGAAAAGCTATATAGTTTGTCACATGATTAACTCTCATTTTCGGTGAAGTCGATGAGTCTCCTCGCTGCTTTAAATCGGCCCGTAATTTCTCGACTGGAATTTTGTATTCTGAATTTTTTCAAAAATAACAATCCAATTAAATAAATTTCAACTGTACTTAATTTAGCAAATCTCAGTTTTCACAACTACAGTAGTGCTGATGTGTTTTCTGATATATTAAAAAAACCAATATAAAATTGTCAATAATTCATATACTGTTAAATAACAATAAAATTAATATACATTAATTCCAAACATAGTTAATTTTTGTTGGATTTTACATTCAAAAATGTTAAAACATGACCAACGGATAACAGTAAAAAGATTTTCAGTATTTTCTATGCTATTGCATTTATTTCAACAATTATGCTATTTGTTATGAGTAATCATTAGGAACTAACACCATAACATACACATGAGTTAAAATGCATGACAAGGAAGACAATGTATCAACTTTTAACAAAATCAACTACTTAGGATAAGTCACTGCCTTAATGTAAAAATCAAGATACTTACCCCGTTTGATGACTTGTTAGATGAAGATTCACTGACACTATATCTATTCTATACGATCTTCGGAATCACAAGATTCCCACAAGCACAGAATTAATGTGATCAACTTTTGTAGAACGTACTGACTTCCTTCACAACATGGAACTTTTACGTTATAACTTAAAAATCAGGATGATTTTTTATGAAGAAAACTTGTTGTGCAAAACTGTGGTGGTTCTCTAAAATATTGCTTAGATCAAATGAAGAAACTGGAATTTGTATGATTACAACACAAAAATCAGGATGATTTTTGATGAAAAAAACTTGTTGTGCAGAACCGTGGCGGTTCTCTAAAATATCACTTAGATCAAACGAAAACTGGAATTCTTATGATTACAAGAACACAAAAATCAGGATGATTTTGGTTCCGTCGACTTATGTAGATCAACATCCGAACTTGAGCAGATTTCTAAACAGCACAGAATCATGAAGGTGCTGTCAAAACTTCACTGAATCAAGATGTTTAATTCAAAACTGCAAACCTCATAGAATCAGGATGATTCTACTCAACTGTGTCGAATTCAAGCATCACTTCTTCGTTTGACTAGCGGGCCTTTTTAAAATCCCACTGCTGCTGCTACCCGTTGTACCATAGTTGTATTTCCTTCAAATAAACAAGACCTGTTGTAGGCTAAATACTTACTTCTACAGTCAAAAGTCTTTAATCCGGACTCGTCAGGACTTCGGTTTTTCCGGATTATAGATCATCAATTTAAATCTGGCAAGATGGCATGCAGAAATTATAAAATTAAAAATATGTAATCGTAATTTATGAAATAAAGAGCAATTATGATCTAAAGGGTACCAAAATTAAAAAAAAAGCTTAATATGTATTTGTTTACTTTATTAAATATTTCTTTCAACGCATGCGTAAAGCATACATTATGCATAGTCGAAATTAGAAAATTGCAACCAGAAAACTATTTGATGTGTATTCATGATATTTATAATGACGAGGAATTTGATTTAAATCATATCAAAGACGAAGTACATCGAGATGAAAAACTACATTTAGTAAGAAATTATAAGCCGAATAAAATAAAAACACCTGCCCTGAAGATAAGGATAGTGCTAACAGATCAACTTCCAGTTCATTGCGTGCTGCGACTCCCCCCCCAAAGGATATGCCTTTATCCATTTTTTGCAGCAGTTCCACTTTTTTTGACGGACATCAAAACATGCTTTCGTTTTGTAGATCCTTTGGCAGCCCCAGAATCGGAAATTCTTTTTGAAATAATCGAAAGTTCAAGCTTACTTTTATAAAATTGCTCTAACAGTCTGCAAAAAATAATAAGCTGGACCCAATTTGAAAATTAAGGAACAACACAATTTGCAACATTTACTGAAATAGATAATTAGATAATTTTAGCACTATGCGTTTACGCATGCGCAGAAAGTTTTTAGCTTTGAGGTCCGGATTATAGATCATTCCGGATTTTGAACGTCCGGATTAAAGACTTTTGATGGTATATACAACTATGTGTACGGATTACATTTTAGAAAAACTTTGAAATACGTTTTCATTACAGTAGAGTGCGCAAACCAGCGTCCGCTCTTTTACATCTCAATCTCTTTTTACCCCCACCTGCAACCAGAGGGAAAATCTACTCCCCTCTTCCGGCTGAGGCGAGAAGAGGGTTGTCTGTCCCTTTTAGGGCGGGTGACCAAGTGTTGTTCAGAGAAGGGGAATGTTACAATGCAGTACTATATTTATCTTGCATGAAAATTCGTACATCATTTCGTTTATAACATGTTTATGTTTTCGCGATTTTTTTCAGCAATGAAGCAAGCCAGATCTAAACATCTGCATTAGCAGTATCTTGGTTTTATTGAAAGATGTTGTCATTGTTACTGCAAATACCAAAAAAGGCCATCTGTAAATTGAAGCATATCATTTAATAAAAACTGAAGACGGCTAGTTTTTTTATGTGCATGTGTGTAAAAAAACAAATCTGAGTATATGTAAATTTCCTTTATGTTGCTATAGAACATGTTTTATTATTTATTTATTTATTTATTTATTTGTGGAGGGGTTCAAGATGTTGGAAAAGCATGTAAATCGGAAATCTCTCTGAGTTATGTTATTCCAACTTAAAAAGATACTTGATGAGCTTTTATGAGAGAAATCAAGTGGTCTTTTGCAATAACAGTGAAGCTTTATATAAAAGTGTTGTGAATCATTTAATCCTGTGTAAAAGTTTCTACCTTGGATAATTTTTTATGTATTGTTTCTCTAGGAGTATTCACTGTGGAGCTTGTAAATGATAGTCTCTATGAATGGAATGTGAAATTATTGAAAGTTGACCCAGATAGTCCACTTCACAATGATTTAAATCTTCTGAAAGATAAAGAGGGAAAAGATAGCATTTTATTAAATATTATGTTCAAGGTATTTTTAATTTTTTATTCTTTTATCTAACTATTCCTTAAAAAAATCAAATCAAATCATACAAAAACAATTGTTTGAGTTTTCTATTTACTTCTACGAAATGTATAAATTACATTGATGTTCAAAATTGTTTAAGTTATTGAAATTGAATTTTAATTTTATATCAAATTAATAAAATTTTTAGTATCACTTTATGTGACTTAATAACTTAAAAAATGGAAAGGGGAATGGATTATTTTTATGTTGAAATGAAATAGTCTGTATCACATAGCATTGTTGCTTGTGCCCGCTTTTGCCAGGTAACATTTATGCTATTCTTGAAACCTGTAATAAAGGTTTAAGGTACTTTATCAGCTCAACAACCAAAAATTGCTTATGAACACGGGAACATCAAAATGTATTTTTGTTGTATAAATTTTTTTTGTTATTTTGCATTTAATATTATTGCATAAAATATTATTAGATCTGTAAGGAATTTCTAAAGATTGTGCAATATGTACTTCATACAGATTAGGTAGGTAAACTATACCCTGGAAGGAAACAGTACCATTTATTATTGTAAGTTTATAAAGAGAGGCATTAAATAACTTTCAATATGCTTTGTAAACAACTTGTGCCTAACTTCGAAATCATCACAGAATTTGTGAAAATTATCATTTTGAAAAACAGTATATGCTGTGTATGATATCCAAATTAAAAGTGCTGTAGCACCTAAACACAAGCTTGCCTGCACTGAAAAAGATGAAAATTTTTAAAAATGTGATTCAGCAAATTGGATCTCTAAAAAGAATGTGTGTGTTGGAAACTTTTCTCCGCGTACTGCTCGATTTTGATACATTCTGTTCCGGAAATACAAGCCAGTTTTGTTATTTTATATTACTATTGTTATCAGATCTTGTCAGGATGGTTTGTGGTAAGTTTCGATTACTTTTTCATTCTGCAGCATAACTCTTAACAAGTTATTACTACACTTACATAAATTCTTTAATTACTATACTAAATATATGCATATATATAATTCATATATACATATAATTCAGGAATATTCTTAACCATGCTCATCTTCTTTCCTCTCTCCGATTCTCGATTACCATCGTGCATTCTCTATCGGGGCTGTTTACATTTGGTTTTAGTGACCTGACAGTCATCCCGATTGTTGTGAATACAAATTAATTTTCTAATTAATACATTTTTTTCTCTACTTTGACTCGTACACACATTATTTAACATACAAATTACTGATACACTAAGAAGACTACGCATTATACTACTAAAATTTGCTATGATAATAAACTTACTCACATATTTTCACATATATAAATTCACATATTTTTAATACATTAGCATAATAATCAAAACTTTCCATAAATCATTACTAAATTTATAACATAATCTGAAATAACTCATGTATTATCAGTCGTAAAATGATAAATCCAAAAATAAGTCTTTCAATCTAACGTTCAAAAGTTCATAGTCTCTTTTAGCAAACGTGTAGATAAACATAAAAAAGGGAAATATCTTGCCTTAATCGCAGTGAAGAGTCCGAACAGATCTTCGTGGGTTCCGTCGAGGAATTGAACGTGATAACTGGTCAGTATCTTGATTGTCGTCAGAGCTGGGGTCGCACCTCCATAGTTTCAGTTGACTCACAAGAGCCGTGGTAGAGAAGTAGCTACCTCGATTCTTCACTTCTAGTTGTGTTATTCTGTAGGTATCACTAGGTAATAGTTCTGTTATCATAAATGTTCTTCGTTATTTTGGCTGTGTTTTGGTAGGTTGACCTGTAGCTTTAGGAACACAGCTCGTTACAATGATTTCTCCTTTTTCAAATATTGGTGTATGACGTCTCTTTCTCACGCTTTTAGGAATCACATAAAGTAGTCTCTCTTTTCCATCCACTGTGGTTTTCCAAAACAGCCTATTCTTTTTAAATACGTACTTCCTAATTATTTGTTTTTCTTGTTTCTTCTTGAAAATGTTGATAATTCTTTTCAGTTCTTGGTCAGCATGTTGTATCATTAGTATTGTATGTTGTATTTGCTCTTCTTCGGTTAAGGACTGGCAAACTTCCAAATTTTCACCTATCGTGTCATCAGCTTCTGATATAGGACCTCTACTCAAAGCATCAACATGAGACAGTCTTTTTCCAGACCTGTGCTTTATCTCAAAATGATATTCTTGAATTAAACCACAGCAACGGGATATTTCCCAACCATCAGTAACTTCCATTTACTGAATCTGGACTTTCATGTTTGTTTTGAAATAAAATTAGTCCATTATTTATATCTGGGGTTACAGAATGCACAATGTTTATCGTGTTGTTTTTTATTTCTATTGGTTTCTCAGAATATAACTTAATGTGTTTATGCTCCATTTCGTTTATCAATTGCGCGAATGGAATTTTATTAGCATACCACATGTCAAACGTATCCCTTATTTCCCCATTAGCCAACATCTGATCATTTAAAATATCTCTCCCAATAATTAGGTATTTCGGCTGTGCCTCATCATTTATGATAAACAAATTCGCAGTTGTTTGGATTTTGTGGATTCGAAGTGAAACCTGAACCTTACTCAAGGGCACTGTAGATGCGCTTCACATTCCCAATTCCAAACAATTTTTTTGTTTCCATTTGTATTGGCAGTCGTAATTTCGAAAATACTGAAGATTTTATTAGACTAAGACTGCTTCCTGTGTCTATCAAACATTCAATCGGTTCACTTTCACTGTCGTTGATTATTGCTTCCTTCAAATACAAACAAAGTTCCTGAAACTTTTCTAAATTACCTTTATTTAATTTTTTTCTAAGATTTATTCTCTGTTTTCCTGGTTCACTATTCGAAATAAATGAAGAATTATTCTTCAACTACAAATCTGCCTTATTTCTATCTGAATTCTTGACTTTTGCTTTCATGTAAATAATGCGCTCTCGATATTCCTGATTATTCTCGACTTCTGTTTTGAAATCAGATAGTTCAGGAATTAAATCCTCAATTTCTAGATCTAACTCAAATATCTCATCTGCTTTTTCTTGTAGATTCATCTTGCATTCTTCTAATGATTTTGTATCTACAATATCCTGTTTCAATACTTCAGATATTCTATTAATTACTTATGTTGTTAACCTTCTTAGAGTTTTGCGTTTTAATTTTTGCTTCATCTAAAGCTTACTCATCCATGATATTAACTAATAATATACTTCTAAATTCTGTACTCTGTTAGAATTATCAAAGGTATTTCAATATAATTATTCTACAGTTCATGCATTCAAATCCACGCTCACAATATGCAAGTCATTCGATGGGGAAGTTAATCCTTATTATAATCCCTCTTCTGGTTTGTTATTAGGTCTTGTCAGGATGGTTAGTGGTAAGTTTCGATTACTTTTCATTCTGCATGATAACTCTTAACGTTTTATAAATTCTTTTATTACTACACTATATAGATATATATATACATATAATTCAGAAACATTCTTAACCTCTCACATTCTCTCGACTCTCAAGATTCTCGATTACCATCAAGAAAGGATTTTTATGTGTTTGTTATTTTTCTGTATATTATATACAAATTCCACATTGCTTGATCCAGTATATAGAAAAATATTTTCTTGTAATATTTATGAAGTTGTTTTCTGGTATTAGGGTAGTACAACATCTCCTGATCACATCTGCGGACACCATGCATTGTAAAGTTATAATCATAAATCACTTTTGGCTTTAGTTTTCTTTTGTTATCCTTGAATAAACTTATATAGGGAACTCATCATGAAAAGAACTAAGCATATTTACTGTTTTCTTATCATTGCACAATGAAAGAAGCAGCAGTGTCAATCATGCTTAGACTGTGAAGAAACAGCAGTACTACTTTACTTTCACATGCTACTTTTGCATGACCCGGATAACGAGATGGATTTCATATACTGTGAAAATCGTGGGCGCCGTACGCAGACAGTTAATATGTGGGGGTTTTGCCAGAGGGGTTACAGGAAATTAAGCATTCCAAATCCGAGTTTCACCATGTGATAAAACAGCTTAGTTAATTTTGTATTAAATTGTGTTGTTTTTACATCAAAAGCTAACATCTGTTCGAAGTAACCTCATACCATAGTTATATTTAGTTGGTGAAATAGAAGCTCATTTAACTTTTGTGCAAAATTTACATCGAGAAACAAAATTGGTTTTGTAACTTAATTTTACTTGTCTTGCCTCAGTAAGAGATTTATAAACCATATATTTCTCATTCCTTATCAAATATTAATGCGTGTTTAAAAAGTAAGGTGAACTTATTCCCGTATGACGTTTTAGATTTTTTTTTTTTTTTTTTTTTTTTTAAAGTTCAAGCTTTACAAGAATTCTTGTAGGATAAAAGTGCAAAATTGTTCTAAACATCAGCAATATATTATCATAAATTTACTTTGTTAGTTAATTTTTACATTCAAGTTTTTAGCATTAAAGGCTAAGAACTTAGCCATTTTTTAATGCTGCTATCTCTCAATAATGTAATTTCTTTGGAAAATATATTCTAATATTCTTTTTCAGGAAGCATATCCATTTGAGCCACCATTTATTCGTGTTGTCCATCCAATGATAACTGGTGGTTATGTCCTTGGAGGTGGTGCTATTTGTATGGAATTGCTCACAAAACAGGTATTTTAAGTTATCTGATTTGAGAGTTAAAAAGATAGACGTTTTTAAGTCTCTCTATTTAATTTTTAAATTCAAATGATAGTATTTATCTAAATAACATAGATTTTCAGCTTTTACTTAGTACTTTATATTTTCTTTCAAAGATAGTTCTGGATGTGTGTTTTACTGTACTAACTGTAAAACCTTTTGATATGAAAAATGTGTGGTAGAATATACTATTACAATATGCTGAGTATTTTTTTTTTCCTTGCATCATAGTAAAAAAATTGGGTTACTTAAAAATAAGTAATATCTAAAGTGAATTTATTATAACTGGACTAGAAAATTTCAAAATTTGCATTTTCCAAGGTGCATAATCCAAAAATATTGCACATCTTCAAAAATACTAGACATCTTCAAATATACTTCAAAAATACTCATAAATATTTTTCTTTACATTAAAAAAAAGTACAAGTTGATGATGAGGCTAATTTTCATGAGTAGTTTTACTCTGAGTTTTTCATTGCATCTGAACATCCCAATGTTTTCCTTCACGTTATTTAAAGCCCTCAGGGGCTCACTTTTGTGAGTACGGGTGTGGCAATCCCGAGGTACCCTAGCCCTTCAGGGGATCATCTTCTTGGTGAGACGGGTGTCACGATCCTGGAGCCCCAGTGATCTATCCTCTTTTCCGTCTCCTCTCCTCTTGGCTGGAACTTTTTCCCTTCCCTTTTCCCTTGTGGTTTCTCTCTACGGAGTTTGGGGCTCGTCACGAGAGGCTGGAACAGACCTTGTTTCTAGTTTTCGAGTGGCGAGAAAACTGCCCACGTGTTTGCCGTGCGTGGAGACCCGTGTCGCTGGAAAGGAGGGTCCTGGTAGTTGAGGGGCGAGGTACTGTCCCCAACACACTGCTTTGGCCTCTGCTTCAGCTAAACGGGAGGCACCTTAGTCGTCCTCACGGGTGTCAATCGGCTGGTGACTAGTCCTTGGGCAGTGGCTTGGGGTCAAGCTCTCGGGAGTACCTGCTTTCGGGAAAGCCGACTGTGGGGCTTCAGTTTGCGTATAGGTCCGGCTAGCCCTAACACAGGAATCTGTGTTCCCTTGTTGGGCTCCGTGGTGGGCGGGGCCGTCGGACCCGAATCTTTTCTTTCTTAAATATGTCTTCTATGTTTCTTCTCAAATCAAATGAAAACGACCAAAGTATTGAAATAATTGATAAATCTCTTACTAAGAAAATACGTACCGATGCAAATGCCAAAGTAATCACTGATAATCCACGCTTCCTTGTAGTCTCGAGTCCCTCCGGCGAACTGCAAAAGATGTCCCCTTTCGTTGTAAGCAAATATATCCGTTCTTGCATAGGTGAACCAAAGAATATAAAGCGTCTCCGTTCTGGAGACCTGCTTATAGATACTGTCTCGCCAACCCAATCTGCTTCCCTTTTGTCACAAACCAAACTTGGAAATGTAGCTATAACTGTGTCAGCGCATAAAACTCTGAATTATTGTAGAGGTGTGATCTCGGAAATCGACCTTCTGTGCGTTTCAGAAGAAGAGTTCGTTTCCGAGTTAGCTGACCAAAAAGTCTGTGGTGCTAGGCGGATCAAGATGCGTAAGGAAGGTCAGTTGACTGACACTAAACACGTGATCCTGACCTTCAACTCGCCTGATCTGCCGAAAAATATTAAGGCTGGATATCTTAACTGCCCCGTAAGGCCTTATATTCCAAACCCCATGCGATGCTTCCAGTGCCAGCGTTTTGGCCATTCCAAGATGTCCTGTCGTGGGACCCTGACGTGCGCTCGATGCTCGTCGGTTGGCCACGATAGCGAAAATTGCACCGCTGCAGCACTGTGTATAAATTGCAAGGGCAACCATCCAGCTTTTTCTCATTCCTGTCCCAAATGGAAATTAGAAAAGGAAGTGCAGACCATAAAAGTTTCCAGGAACATTTCGTATGCCGAAGCCAGAAGACAAGTTCAAAGCACACAGCCTACAATCAAACAAATCATATGCCAATGCCGTGAAATCAACCTGCACAATAGCCACCCAAACTTCCATAAGTACACAGACTCCACCAAATAAAAACCAGCAGCCTGCAAGCAAGAACAAAGAAAATCCAACACATACCATACAAAATAAAGAAATAGCAATCCCGAGCAAACCCAAAACTGTGCCTCCAATAATAGAAATCCAAAAATAGAAGTCCCCAGCAATAGTTCTGCAAGATAAAATTATTTCTGAATCTCTGCAGATTCAGACAGTATGGAAGTGGAGGAGACGGTCTAGAAGTTCCCGATCATTTGCTTCCGTGCAAAACTAAAAAGGAACACAGGAACAACAAACATCAATCATAATGGCCACCCTCGTCTCATGGAACTGTCGCGGTTTCCACCGAAATTTGCTCGACATCAAAGCCATAATCAATGCTTATCATCCTGTATGCTTCGCAATACAGGAAACAAATCTAAAACCAGAACAACAGGCAAAACTTCGGAGGTTTTCCTTCGTCAGGAAAGATAACGTTGCAGGTGAGCGTGCCAGTGGAGGTGTAGGTCTCCTCACCTCACTGGATTATCCCTCAAATGTGCTTTCTTTGACGACATCCCTCCAAGTTGTCGCTACTCAAACAAATTTTGATATTGTTGTTACAGTCGTTTCTCTGTATTTGCCTCCAAATGAGCATATTGATCAGCAAGATTTAAATGGTCTTTTAGAGCAGCTGCCTGAGCCTTTCATCATAATAGGAGATTTTAACGGCCATAGTCCGCTCTGGGGTAGTAAAGATAAAAATTGCCGAGGAAGACAAATTGAGCAGATGATCGAAGATCATAGCCTTTGTCTCCTAAATAATGGGCAGGATACGTACTTCCATGAGCCTTCAAGGACATTCCACGCTCTCGACCTTGCCATCTGTTCACCATCTCTGTTGCCTTTTCGCTCTTTTAATGTGGGAAAAGATCTTTACAACAGTGATCATTATCCCATTTTTGTGTCTCTTGCACGAAGAGGAGCAAATCCCATGACGAGACTCCCTCGGTTTATTCTGGACAGGGCAGACTGGGAACTCTTCTCTTCCATTGCAGAGCTCACACATCAAATGGTAGAAGATGTGCATATCGATGACGCTGTTGAAGCTGTTACTAATACTATTATTCAGGCAGCTAGCTATGCTCTTCCATTCCTAGAACATCAGGAAAAATACTAAAATATTCAAAACCATGGGTGGAATCGCGACTGTCATGAAGCACTGAAAAACAGAAAAAAAAAAGCATGGGGCAATTTTTCGTAGATATCCGACTCTGCGAAACCTCATAGCCTTTAAAAGAGCCAAAGCAAATGCACGAAAATTAAGAAGGCAGAGCCAGAGGGATTCCTGGATTTCACATGTGTCCTCAATAACATCTACGCCTAGTAAGCGGGTTTGGGAAAGAGTTCGAAAAGCATGCGGAATTAATAAAGACCACTCACTTTCCTTTCTGGAAAAAGATGGCCGAGTGATTAGCTCCATAGAAGAAATTGCAAATACTATTGGTGAAACATTTGCTGCCGTTTCTTCAAGCAGAAACTATTCACCTGCATTTCTCTCTATCAAGCAACACTCTGAAATAAATCCCATCGCATTCAACTCTTCCAAATCTGAGCCGTACAATAGAGACTTTACTATGGTTGAATTAAGGAGAGCTTTGTTGCAGACACATAGGTCTTGTCCTGGTCTAGATGGCGTGTATTATGAAATGCTAAAGCATCTATCCTATAAGTCACTGAGTGCCCTTCTCACACTTTACAATAGAGTGTGGAAGGAGCGTACTTTTCCCAGTGCATGGAGGAGAGCTGTTGTCATTCCTATTGCGAAGCCAGGGAAAGATCCGAGGAATCCCTCGAACTATCGGCCAATTGCCCTTACCAGTTGTGTTTGCAAACTGTTTGAAAAGATGGTAAACAGCCGCCTAGTCTACTTCTTGGAAAAGAATAATATTATATCGCCTTATCAGAGCGGTTTTCGAAAGGGGAGAACGAACCGTAGACAATATGCTTCCTATTAGAGACATCTATTCGAAAAGCCTTTGTCAGAAGAAGTCACCTTGTCTCAATATTCTTTCGACATTGAGAAAGCTTATGATAAGGCATGGAGATACGGTATACTCCGGGATCTTCACGAGAGTGGCTTGCGCGGCAACCTACCAATTTTCATTTACAGAATTTCTTGAACGCTAGAACTTTTCAAGTAAGGATTGGCTCTGTTTTTTCGGATGTTTTTCAACAGGAAGAGGGTGTGCCTCAAGGCTGTGTGCTTAGTGTAACGCCTGTTCAGTTTTAAAAATAAACTCTGTATTAAAAGAACTTCCTCCCACCATCTTGGGATCTCTATATGTTGATGATCTGCAGATTAGCTGTCGAGGAGCAGACATGAGATATGTAGAGAGGCAACTGCAGATGGCTCTGAATAAGATCCAAGAATGGTCAGACAAACAGGGATTTACATTTTCGAAACAGAAAACTGTGTGCGTGCACTTTTGTAGGAAGCGTGGTCTCCATCCTGAACCTGAGTTATATTTGAATGGTACAATTATTCCAGTTGCGCCTGAAGTAAAATTTGTAGGAGTGACGTTCGACCGAAAATGACTTTCCTTTCTCATGTTTTAAACCTGAGAAAAGTGTCTAAAAACACTAAATATTTTAAAATTGTTGGCGAACACCTCCTGGGGTGCAGAGCGTTGGTCCATGCTTCGCATTTACAGAGCGCTTATCCGCTCTAGACTGGACTATGGCTCAGTTGTTTATGGATCCGCTCGGTCATCTGTTTTGTTAAAACTGGATCCTGTTCACCATCAAGGTCTGCGGATTTGTTCAGGAGCTTTCAGGACTTCTCCTGTGCAGAGCCTATATGTTGACTCTAACGAACCATCACTTTATCTGAGGCGTGAGCAATTGTCCCTTTTGCAATATTTTAATACTCTATCTCAACGAGATCGTTTACAGACAACTTTTCGCTGAGCACAGGCACAAATATAGCAGTTA